TTCTCTAGATATTAAGCACATTCCTAGCCTCTCTTGATCTTCAAATTCGTCCATCCACCTTGCTCCATACTTATGCTATCCATTCCAAGCCCAAAACTGCTCTAAAATGGTCCAAATGCTCTTTCTTGCCAACTTTGCCATTTGGACCTACAAACATACGAAAATAACTTAAATCACTATAATAAATAGAAATTAACTATGTAAATGCAAGAAAACAAGCTAACTAAGTTGCATAAATATGCTCCTGTCAATGCAGAGGGCTCCGAGAGCCCCAAAAACAAGGAGTTGGTACTCCATTTGGTTAGTATTCATCTTGGAACATCCGTTAAAATTAGGGGTTTGGTGTGTGGAGATTGTTAATAGGGTTATCTTGTCAAAGCTTGGAATATCAAGGTGAGTGGTTTATGTAATATGTTGCAAATTATACTTATTTTCAAATATCTCTATTTCAAGTCAAGTATGTTGGATTTGTGGGAATACTTTCAGAATTATTAATATAGTGATATGTGGATATTTGGAATTGTTCATGGAGCATGAGAACTTTAGTGTTGCATTAATCTAAGGTATAAATGCAAACTGCACACGGAGACATTAGGGCAGAATGACCAATAGGAATCACGTGGTGAGTTACTATTTATGAAGGATATAATGAACACGTAAAGGGATTATGTGATATGGCACTACATGCATATTGATTTGATATTATTACTGTATTTTCCATAGTAACTAAAATGACATTGCTTGACTGGCATATTACATATTTTACTCACTGAGTGACTTGTTGCTCACCCTCACCCTTTATTTTACAAATGAGTTATTTGACAAGACAGATGTCAGAGGAGTTGAGTTTGGGTTAGACAAGGGATTTAAGATTTTTCCTTATTTTTGTACTCTGTAAGGATTTTGTAATAGTTACTTGTATAAAAGAAGTTCTTATTTTACGTTTTAGTTCTATATTTACTTTTATTCGCGCACCGGGCGTGGGGTCCCACTGACTCCAGGTTCGGGGTGTGACAGGAGGGGGAACAAATATCCTCTAGCTTTCTCTCTTTCTTGTAGGGATAAATAATTACCCTCCGAAGTTAATTTAATCCCCTACTTAAGGTAGGCTCAAATAAGCTTGGTGGCTATTTATTTCTCTTTCCTAGAAGAATCTAATTCCAAGTCAAAGTGAGAATTTGCATCAAATTAGGAAACAATCTTATGTTTCCCTAAGCAATTGGAGATCTCTACACTTATTGCCATTTCCTGCAAGCAACCCAGCAGGCGTGGGGCATTTGTAAAGCCAAAAATAATCCAAAAAGTTAGGGAGGTGACACGTGAACTTTTGGGTGAAAAAGACGAGACTACCCTCGAGGCACACCGGAATTCCCACATGTATGCCTTGGACAATAACAACTCAATCAATGGAGAGTCAAAGGTGATCACAATATGGAATTTATTTCATATTCCTCTCATCACTCCTTATCAATCCCTTATTTTGTTTTATTCAAAAGGTAACTCCCAAAACTTCCTATTTACATTAGGAATAATTGCCATGTTAATTTCAAGATATTATTTCACATAATATCTTGCAATTATTCACCCAAATTCACCATAAAGGGCCGGCTACTCCTCACCCTAAGGGTCGGCCACTCTCCTATAAATACCCCACTCATCCCACTAAAATGCTAAGTCATTTGCTACCTACAAACTCTTAAACACATTCTCTTCAGAATTATAACTTTGGCATTGGAGATTCTTTGGCCAAAGCCCCCCCACCCCCCATTCATTGTGGGTGCATGGGGCTTTTGACCTTAATCTTAGGTGTTATTATTTTGCATGTGCATTTTCGTCAAAGGAAGATTGCATCGACATACATTATTTTATCCAAGCGGTGGTGGACACTAAATTAATCTAAATGATAGGGAGGGAGATTCAAACTCTTTTTTTTATATTTTTAAATATAATAAATGTTGAGGGAGATTCAAACTCTTTTTGTTGTTGTTGTTGTTGTTATGAAGAGGGAGATGATTCAAAAATAATATAAGAATTTACAAGAGAAGGGAGTTTCAAACCCGGAATGCCTAGGTAGAAAGAATACCAACACCCTACCCACTTGGGGATGAAAATTAAAACTTAATTGGAGAAGGGTTTACACAGATTTAACCACTTAGCTATGCCTAGGTATGTCATACATGAACATGGTTAATGGTCCATCTTTGAGTAATCGAGAATCTTTTCAAGTAGTATAAGCTTGGTGACTCTACCCACAAAAACAAATTTACATACATTATTAGAAAATATGTACCAACAAAACCGTTTAACAATTTTTAATTAAAATTTGAATTCGAGGGTAACCAAGGGCACTTTTGTTTGGCCTTGTTAAGTTTAATCGAACTGGACTGAATTAGATATTAGTGTAGGCATGTGTTTGTTATATGCTAGACTAAGTTTAATGGGATAAAGGAGGACTCGCATCTACTAAATCGCTCACTAGGAGGTCTTAGAGAGACCGCCAAAAAACTACGGATTGTTAATCCCGTCTCCCTCGTCTGCAAGTAGCCAACCCAATCATTCTCCTTCGTACATGAGTAGCAGCTGCAGCCTCCTTCTCTATTGACCAAATCATAAATAGTTCTCACCGATCTCCAATGTCCCGTAAAACCCAGGTCGATTTAGGGTCTCCTGCTGGGTTGACCTAAACGACGGTAAAGACGAGTCTTTTGCTATCTTAGATCACACACACACACACACACACACACACACACACACACACACACACACACACACACACACACACACACACACACACATCGCTCTCTCAACCTCACAAACGCTTGCTTCCACTGATTCTCCCCCATCAGTCGCGTTCTGTCATGAAAATTCAGCGAACTGTGATTTGAATCTGGTGCGACAAATAAGGTAAGCAATTAGTAGGAATTGGGGGTTTTGAAAGGTGTTTGGTTGGTGAAAAAATTAAGAAAGAAATCGAAAGAAAATGAAATGTCAACTAGGAGGAATTGGAGATTTTAAAGTGATTTTTCTGCAAATGGGAGTTCCATGAAAGCATGGTTGATGAAGGAAAATTTTTTTGAGTGTCTGAAAAGGCATTTATGTGTCTGAATTTTGAGTGTTTGAAAAGATATTTGAGTGTCTGAATTAGCAGATATGGATTAAATAACATAATTTCAGAGTTTGTTAGTAATCCTGCTTCTTAGTTGGAACACTTCACTAAATCAGTCAAACGTAGTCTATTTTTAAGTCAATCCAACTTAGTACATGAAACTAGTCCAGTCCGAAATAATTCGATACAACAAATGCACCCTAATCGTATAATAAGGTGCCATCAAATTGTGGTTTATTACCACTTGTTGTCGTTTTAGCATTCACTATTTTTATTTTTCGTTTAAAATTTCTAACAAGTTCTAATTGTGCATATTTTCGTACCTTTTTTTCTAAAAAAAATGTTAAAGAGTATAAGTTTCAAATCAGTACCTAAGCTTATGAACGCAAATCACTTTTTATTAGTTACAAAAATGGTTAACGGTTCTTTCATTTTTTTTTAATTAGAGTAGTCATAGCTGACTCTTTCTTTGCTTTAATGTAAGTTGTTTATGTTTCTTTTCTTCCTTGCCATGAATACTTTTCTTCCTTGTCGCATTCAAGCGTTTCTATTTGAGCTGATGGTTGTAACCAAATTGCCGCAGAAGTAAGCAAAACTTGGGCATTTTCTTCTCAACAAGAACATTTGGCAAGAGTTTGTACAGTTTAAAATCTTTTGAAATCCTAAGAAATCCATAAAAATCCATGGAAATTTATAAGACAAATCCATATAAATCTACTAAAATCCATATAAAATCATTGAACTTATTAAAATTCTTTGAAATCTACTACTTATAAAGTCTTTTAAAATCCTCTGAAATCCAAATTGATTAAATCCCTTTAAATTCTCTATAACGTCACAGTAGATAGCTGGAAAAATACCCAATCAATTATATATAAAAGGTATCTGTACTTACCTACTTATTATCTATTCTAAAGTTGGAGGGGCATCGGCACTGTTCATGGCTACAGTCAATTGTTTGCCCCTCGATTTCATGCTATTTACAACAAAACCATCAGATCTGGGGTGGGCGGGGAAGTTAATTCTTAAAAGTTAGGGGGTATTTGTGTCCGTAGGTTTGAGCCAAATTTGACTTTATTTACAAAATTGCCACCGCCTTTTCTTTCCCGCTTTCTCTCTCCCGACTCTATCTAGCTCGGTAACCATCCATCAAATCTAGGGGTGGTTCGGTATGGGATACCATACCGAAACTAGTATCCCGAATCCCAAACCGAAATTTTTCGGGACGGGAATTTGAAGACCAATCCCAAACCAAATTTTCGGGAATCCCAAATTTCGGGAATCCCGAAATATTTTCGGGATTTTGGGACAAATCGGGAATCCCAAATTGAAATATGAAATTATGAATTGTTCTTCAAATATATAATTCAAGAACACATTTATGAACTAGGAATTTCATTTCATTCACACTACCATTTAATTGAACACTGGCATGCTTGACACTTTTTATCATAGTCAAAATTCAAATTAATTAAACTCTTTTTGCAATCTGTTGAGAGACAAAAGAATCAAGCCTTCTGAAATCATCAGCCATGACAGCAGCAATAATAAAATCCACATGAATATCAAATAGAACATGAAAAATATGCAAGGTGTAGGGCATTCTAGGTTGCTGAGCATGAATTAGAAACTACTAGCATCAATTATAAAAGAATAATATATATATATATGTATAAATATATATAATAATTAATATTATATATTTTCGGTTTGGTATGGGATTCCCGAAATATCGAGAAGCCAATCCCGAATCCCATACCGAAATTGTGGGATTGGTTCGGGATAGCATCCCGAAAATTTCGGGAATTTCGGTTTGGGAAATTTTTGGTTTGGGATCGGGATTTTTTCGGTTCGGTTCGGGATTTTCGGGAATTTTTTCCACCCCTAATCAAATCCCCCATCCTTTCCTTTTCTCGCTCTGAGCTCATTTCCTACAACCCTATCAAATTCGAGAGACTTCTCTCTCATTTCCTATCAAATTCGAGAGACTTCTCTCTCCATTTCTCTCAATCTAGCCCCAGCGCTGCTCACCCCATTCCTCTTCATCATCTCAGTTAAATCCGTTGAACAATCACTGATGCACCTCCACGCGAACCCATATCGAATTTTCCTCCTGCCCACGAACCAACCTCCATTTCGTGGATCCACCGTCCTTGCAAGTCGCCGACACCCACAAATGAACTCAGATACGACCATCAAAAGTAGGGCGGAGCTCTCGAAGATGTCAGATTTGAGAAGGGAAAACGTAAAGTTTTGTACTTTAGTGTTTGATGCTGAAGTAGATTGAATTTTCCCTCTCTCCGATCAAATTCTTCTCCTTTCCAAATTTTCTGCTCAAATCTAAAAAATTCCAGGAGCGGAGCGGAATTTAAAATGAGCGAGCTCTGCTTCTAGGCCTCCCCGAAAAGCTTGCAGGTCAGTCGTCCGAACCGATTTCTGAATTTTGGATGTATTGCGTTTGAAAATGCCGAAAATTAATTGTTTTGTTGGAGTCCGATTCATTTCGGAGGATCGGCGGTGGTTTTTAAATTTGTATTTGTATTTGGTGCTTAATTTAAAAAATTGGAGTGAGTTTGGTGTGGATCCGAGCTAAATTAAGTAATTAACTGACTCTGCAATTTTTAAAATTTTTCATTTGAATTTTGTTTCAGCAATTTCAGCTCAATTTCTATGTTTTATGAATTTTAATTTTAATTAATGCTTTTGTGGAAAGAAATTTGAATTTTTATGTTGTTTAATAGAAAGATAGGTGCTTGGATGGGAGTGGACGTAGGAGCAGGGAGTGTTGCGAGGAGGGGAATTAGTACCATCATCTGCTGTGTTGCAGTAGTGAAGTGATCAGACATCGGTATGGCATCTGCTGGCCTAGGGAATGGTGGAGTTGGCAGTTCAAGGTATGTTAGACAATAAATATGGCATAAGTGATGAGGCATTTTCCCTCTCTGCAAGTGTTAACCTCACCCTGTATGGGATTATGAAAAGGAGGGGTTTTCTTTTGCTTTGCGTTGCAAGGGATAGATGGAGACTTAATTTACTATATTAGCCTTATGAGTTTACGGACCTTCTAATATTTCATAGCGGGCCTAGAATTGATTTTCCGAGAACGGGAAACGTAATTGACTTTATATATTTGATGAAGCTTGAAGTAGCTTCTACCAGACAACCCCTCATTTCTTTATGGTAATTGAGCTTCATCTCTAATTATTTATTGTCTGATTAGATTATTATAATATTTGGGTTGTTGGATATGTTGGATTTGAATTGATTTTTTGTTTTCATTTTTCATGGTGATGGATTTTCGAATGAAATGCACTCAACCTGAATTCCAGTGGGGGTGGCTGAAGCAGCTGCCGGATATGACTTATGGCAGCCAAGGTTCCCTTATTGTCATGCTTTTAGTTTTATTAAATATGACAAGTTGATATAAATATATATGTACATAGAGAACTTACATCTCTTGATAGATTGTGTTGCTAGATAGTTTTTCACGTTCCTGCTCAAAATAAAGTTTATCATGTTATTCTGTCCAACTATTGATTTGGAACAACGTTATGTAAATACTTTATTCTGTCCAACTATTGATTTGGAACAACGTTATGTAAATGCTTTTCACACACCATACTTATAACACATTAGTCCTGTATTTGAAGACTTATATACAATACTTATAATTCGGATGAAGAGATCCTGATCTTTGTTTTTGGGAGTTTTTTTACGCTCTGCTTTTTGAGCGAATCTTTGTTTATCATTTTTTATCATAACACGGTCATATGGTGTTACTGTCCGTCCTTTTAGTTATTAAAATCTGCTTTTTTGAGTTGTACATAGAACTCTTAACGTAGAATTAGTAAAATGCAGGTGCAGAATGAACGACTAATCAATGTGAGAGAAGCTTTTAAATTTTTTGGGTTCAATTTTAAATGGGTTGTTATCAACCATTGAATTGCTTTTGGAGTTTTCATTTGATAAGAGAGATGGGGGATTCTTTTGGGTGAAACTTTTAATCCGTGAGATTTTTAGTTAGGTTGTGTTGTCGGTTTTTGCAAATTTCTACCGTGTTTATGCATGCATTTTTTGTTATAGATTTGGAGGAAAATAGCATTACAGGGTGTTGAGGGTTTGTTGGTGGGGGAAGGCAGCAGCGTTAAGATTTTGCAGGTGAGATATTAGGGTGAGAGAAAAAGGGGACAAAGAGCATCGAAGACACATTTGGGATTAGGGGTAGCAAAACAGGGGAAAAGAATATGACAGAGGAATGGACTCTTAATTTTTTTCTTAACTGGTTTGGGATTTTTCTTGCCTTTGGGGTCGTCATTGGCGTCAAGCATTTGGTGTCAAGCGGTGTCTGTTTTTTTCATAATTTTTATGTCGTTTGCGATTTTCTATCCTAGGATTTTTGAATTTTATCGTTCAGGTTTTTAAAATTTTTTTTGTCTTCGTTTGTTTGTTTTATATGTTGTGTTTGTGCTGGGACGCCGTTTTGCAAGTTCTCTTTCCATTGGGACCGCTGCATTTTTAAAGTGTTGAGGGTGAGATTTAGATACTCAAAACACTCCATTTTTTTCCCAAATATGCGCATTTGGTTCTCTTCGGTTTTAAATGTTTAAAATTAAATGGCTGTTTGGATAAAATCGTTTATTAGTTTATCTTATGTGTTGTGATCAGGAATTCAATTGGATTGGGTAAAATGCTTTATCAATTTACGTTATACGGAATTTTGTGTATTATGGTCTGTGAGTTTTATTGCTCATCGTTTGTTCTTTTTTCTTTGTTTGCCGGTTTCTTTTGCAGGGGATCACTACAGTTTGGGAGTCAAAATCACCACACTACCCCATCAAGGGTTCAGATCTTGCTGTCAGGTGATATGAGAGAGGGGGTTGGATGGTAATTTTGTCCGTAGGATTTCAGACGGATTGGGATGGGGTAGGGACTTTGTTCATTTAGTTTATTTCTGTGTGTGTGTGTGTGTGTGAGAGAGAGAGAGAGAGAGAGAGAGAGAGAGAGAGGGGAAGAGGGAGGGGTGAGGATGTCTGTGTCGATCTTTGATTCAGTGAGTGAGAGTATGACGGTGAAACAGAGGGGGATCATCGGGATTTCAGGGAGAAAAACACAGAGAGAGGGGTGATGGTGAACAGGCGCGAGTATGGTCCCTTAGTCCGGGATTCACTCTTCATCGTCCATACTCTATTGCATGCTCAGATAAGTGTCTTTTTCAATTACATTTTGTACTAAAATCTCTGTTTTTTTTATTGTTTCTTGCATTTATATCTGCGTGAATGTGGTGATTGAAAAGCCCAAAAACAAATTTTCCAAATCTTTTTGTACTGTTTTGTTATGTTAGGCAGCATGGTTTTTGGTTTTTAATTTTTTTGTTTTTATTTTTATTTTTTTAATCAGTTGGGGGATTTTCTGGGCGTCTATTTATTTGTTTGCCCTTTGGTTTGTTTTTCATTCTGGGTTCCCCTCTTTCATTAGAGAGTACAAAAATTCCAAAGGTAAACATCCATTCCCTTGCTTCCCTTTTCTGTCCATAACCAAGAATCGGTGAAATAAGTGTGGTTCTTGGATCTGCGGTCTGAAACAAAAAAATATGTCTATTCTCTGTTCCAGCTAATGTATCTGTGATTTCTTTGCAGGACGCTACTGCAACACTCAAGTCCGTTTGGAAAATGGAGAGCACACGACTTAAGTATCTCGGGCACAAGGTAAAATGTACCCTTTACTAATGTATGCATCCATGCACTAGATCTGTGAATTTTAATTATGCATGTGCACTCTCTGTGCCAAAAGTTTTTAGATCCGAAGCGGTCATGATGCTAAGTTAGGAAGGTTAATTTTGTCCTACGGTTTTGGGACGGATTGGGATGGGTCTAGGTGGCTGTCATTCGATGAGGGTTTGGTGAATGAGAGCCATGCCGCCTTTGCATAGAGAGAGAGGGAGTAGTAGGTCATGTTTTATTGTCTTCACTGCACCATTAGTTTGATTGCCTATCCCTGTGTATTTGATATTGTCTGGAAGATCACTTCTAATTCCTATAATAATCAGATACTCAATCTTCAATCCTGCTTAGTAGCAGTGATCACCACCTGTTTCATGAAAGGTACACGTGAAATAGTTGTTAATATTTGGGGACCAACAGAGCTCCTTATTTTGGGGGTTTGTTTATGTTTTTGGCAGGAGAACGATTTGGAGCAAGTGACTCAAAAAGTTAAACTTCGATATCAAAATTAATGGAAACCCGTTCGTATGATTTCTTCATCTGAAATTTTTGATTGCCCAATTGGTTGTTTCATCAATTAATTGTATGCAAACATTTATGTGTAATTTTTTACTTCTTCCACTTAAATGGTAAGATCAAGTTAAGCTAAGAACTTTGGGTTTTGTAAATGTTGTGTAATTAAATTATTCATATTATCAATTAATTTTGAGCAAACATTTCTGGGTAGTTGTTAATTTCCCTCAATATTCGATAATAATTAAATTAAAGCTGAGAACTTTGTATTTTGTTCATTACCTGCCGTATATTTTACTTGACAGAGAAAATGTACTTTCCTTGATATTATTCATGTTTTGTTTTCTTTCAGATCGCGTTGTAATGGGTCTCTTTGGAAAAACAATTCTTAAGACCAATTGTGAGGTTTGTTCTTACATGGTGCATGAGTGTTTTTATAATTCTTTTGCACAGTGTTAGTATTTGTAGTTGTGATTGGTGTTGTCCTACATGTTTGGCTTGAAGAAATAAGACACTACTTTTGATAAACCATATTGAGAGTGAAGGAATCTCCTTTTGACCTGGTCATGTTGGAGTACATTTCTACTAACTTGGTACACTATGGAAATTCATGGACTCTTTACTTGCCCCTTTTTGTATGTATTTGTTAACTACATGACAAAGTTTTCGACCTATCGCATCGTGCGGGCATGAATCCTAGTACTCCTCTATCTTGAAAGGATTATTTTAACTACCTACTTGAATTGCCTCTGAAACAAGGTCAATAAAGAGAAGCTCGAAGATAAACTTAATTATTGAGGAACTACGAATCAGGACGGATTAGTTTTATTGACCTTGTTTCAGAGGCAACTTCAAGAAGCAAATACACTAAAGTAGTAAAGCGTACAGTAAAACACCAATGCTTGTTGTAGCCCGGCCTAATCTTGTATGATTGGGTGCTAGATATCTAAATGTTCCAGCTATATGGGTAGTCTGAGGGTCTGCTCCATGGTCATATAGTAACAAGCCCAAAATCTCATACTAACTAGTTATTAAAAGATCATTATATACCGAAACATAGTGATTAAACTATCCAGTGACTTCATAATAATCCGACTTTTATCAATTTTAAGCGGGCTCGTTATGCAATGATTTTTCAGTTAAGTGTATAAAACACGAAAGAAGATTGACAAATTAACAAGCAAATAGCTAGGTCTATATTGCAAATCAGTAGATGAACATATATTACATTGACAAGCTATCAAGAAAAAGCTATACATACATATTGTTTGCACCCTTTATTTTATGCGAATACCAGTTTGCAACAGAATCCTAATTGCTTAGAGCAGTCAGCGACCGCCTGAGAGAAGTGTCGACTCAACAGAAGAAAACCCCGTCCTTGATGAAGACGGATATGGCTTTGCAGAATCATCAAAACCTTCATGGGGCGCAAACACTAAGCCACTGGAAGGATGCGCAAGAACTGACTACTCCGGCAAAGAATGTCACAGTCCAAATACTGCACAACTTGGCGCATGCTTGGCCTATCTGAAGGATCTGAATGAGAGCATAACAACCCAAGCTTCAACACCAGTTCCACTTCCTCAGCTACGAATTCCGTGCTTAACTTTCGATCTCTTACCTCAAGAATACTGTTTTTCTTCCAACAAGAAAACACCCAGCCGACCAAAATCACATCCTGAGCTGGACCTTTTAGCTCTATTGGCCTTTTTCCACAGGCAACTTCAAGCAAGAATGCCCCGAAAGCAAACACATCGGTGTGTGTTGTGGCCCGGCCTGATCTTGTATGCTCTGGAGCTAGATACCCAAGTGTTCCTACAATATGAGTAGTTTGAGGGTCTGTTCCGTGATCATATAATCTTGTTAGGCCAAAATCTCCTAGCCTAGCATTCAGTTCCCCGTCTAGTAATACATTACTCGCCTTGACATCTCTATGAACCACAACTTTCTCCCAATTTTCATGAAGATATAACAACCCTGAAGCCACACCTCTGATGACTTTAAACCTTTGGCTCCAATTAAGAGTGGCCACTGGTTGGTCATAGAGATACTTGTCTAGGCTTCCGTTAGGCACGTAGTCATAGACCAAAAGAAGCTCTCCTTTTCTTCTACAATATCCCAAAAGTTGTACTAAGTTTCGATGACGGAGGCGGCCAATGCTCACAACTTCTGCCATAAACTCCTTCACTTCCTTGCCTCGATTCATGTGAGACCTTCTTCACTGCGACCTCAGTTTTAGAGGCAGGTAATATGCCTCTATAAACCTTACCAAATCCCCCCCTTCCCAAAAGTTCCTTTTGCTTGAACCCTTTTGTAGCAACATATAATTCTTTATATTTAAACCTTTGAGGCCCATACTCAAGCTCCCAATCTTAAAGCAGTTCTGCAAACTTCCTCTTCCTTCTTATGGCATACATAATGCCAACAATTGCTAGCAAAACCAAACTCACAGACATCACAGGCACACCGATGGTTAAAAGCTTAGATACTTTTTTACCTCCTATCCTATGCAGGTTGGGAAGTTGTGAGTGAACAAGTTCTTGAGCTTGCCCATTCATTTTAAAGCTCAAGCCTAAAACATAATGAGACGTAGGAAGAGAACCGGTGGAGGATGAGAAGCCAACGTACATGGTTTTGTGTAGGATTGGGGAAAGGTCATGTTTCAGAGATAAAAGTGGAGCATGGGGTTTACCAGCACTGACTGGAGCCAACGTGACATTGATTTGCTTCTTGGTACCATCATATTCCACCCAAACTTGCATTGCTTGACCACTGGTGAGGGACAAGTTCCGAAACCCACCATTGTTTTCAGCATAGTATCCTCCGGTAGAAGATTTCACAGAGTTCAAACCATTAATATCAATTCCTACATGGTTGTTATTGATGTCATTGAACTCGATCTGCTTGGTAGTGTCTAGCTCTACAGCAAAAATATGATTGGTGACATTGCCATTGTTGGTTCGATTGAAATGGCCTAGGAAAGGGCCGTGTTGAGCTTGGGGAATCCCTCTTTTCAGAGCAATAACTGTAGAAATTTTCAGGTCGACGGGCCGATGGCCCACTCCAACAACACCGATACTGTCCCCACTTAATCACCTGCACAATCCTCAGGTGTGGGGTTTTATCACAAAAGGCCTCGATGTTAGTTAGAGAGGGGTATTTCTATTTAAAGCACTCTTCTCTTCTCCCTCTGTCCGATGTGGGACTGGGGGTTCCAACACTCCCCCGCACGTGTCCGATGTGGGACTGGGGGTTCCAACACTCCCCCGCACGTGAGACCCCACTTATGGGTCACACGTGAATTTCCACACATCGGCAACCACGTGGAGCCATGTCGGGACTCACCCAATCACGTGGGGCCAATGGGGACCCACCCAAACACGTGGCATCTTTGGCCTACGTGGACAATCACGCGGGGCCAACGGGGACCCACCCAATCACGTGGCAGTACGGGCCCGCCTCCTGGCTCTGATACCATGTAGAAATTTTCAGGTCGACGGGCCGAGGGTCCACTCCAACAACACCGATACTGTCCCCACTTAACCACCTGCACAATCCTCAGGTGTGAGGTTTTATCACAAAAGGCCTCGATGTTAGTTAGAGAGGGGTATTTCTATTTAAAGCACTCTTCTCTTCTCCCTCTGTCCGATGTGGGACTGGGGGTTCCAACAATAACGAAGGCCATTCCATGAGCGCTCACAGTTGCAAGCACCGACCTGATAGCGAACACAAATGTCGTAGAAAATGAGAAAGCATTGGTATCAGAATATGAGTTCTTGAAGGTGACTGGGTTGGGGTAGAAGGCATGGCCCTTTATCTCTTGAGAGTCATTCGTAAGCATCAAAAGACCGTTGGGTGTGAACTGGGCTACACCGTCTAAGCTAAGATATTCTGACCGGAAACCATTGTAGATGAAGCTAACATTTTGAGCTACTGCTAGGGTTGCTTGTATGAGTATTACAAGCTTGAAAAACATGGCTGCCATTCTTAGTTCTCTCCATAACCTCTAGGAACTTTGTTATAAGCAATGCAGCTTAGCTGAGCTGTCCCTTCATTGTCTCACCAATTAAATGTGTTGTCTTTGTGTAGCAGAATAAAACAGATCCCTAACTGTCCACTGCCTACCACCGTACGCAACTTCTCAACTCAAATTAATTCAGACTTTATATGTGATTGTGTAGGTGCAACCTCCAGCCATGAGAAGGTAATTCTTCACCATACAAAGTAGGACCAAGAAAAGACCCTAGACAGGAACAAGACTGAGTTGAACATAAAAAGAAAGGAACAAGACTCTATTGACAATAAAAAAGAAAGGAACAAGACTCCTAACTCATCTTATCTAGTTACTTTTGAGAGTCGTTCTCTTGGTCACTAAGTGACTAAGAATTTATAGTCATTTATCCTTATATTTGATATTAACGATTGAAAACGCAATTACTTGTTGTACACTCTTGATATCAAATCAAAAGATGACTAATAATACATTTCTTAATCGCTAGATAAAAGATAACATTTTTAAATTACTATCTTTATGATGATCAATTCCAAGCTAGTTAAGTTGGGCCTACCATGGCAGTACAATTCCTTTACTTGTGGTAACGCAAACAAAAATGAAAAACCATTCTCTCAATTTTTCTTACTTTAATATTCGTTTGTTTAAATTATTATCTATCAAAACATAAACAAAAGAAGTGCCTAGATTTCTGAGAGACATGTGAGCAACTCATTACTAACTACACCGATATTGTCTCCCAACTTGCAGGTTATCTTAAAAAAATCATAATGTAATTTGAAATCGAACCACTCAACTTAAGTCACACTTATTTTTGACAATTTTCCGTCGTAGAATTCTCGTATACTTCCACAAAAAGTTGGAAATTTCCATGTAAATTGCAAAAATCGTCAAGGAATGCTACATTATCATCTAGATTCAGATCTCACAAAGAAATTAAGAGTTCATAAAAACTACAAGGACAGAGGGGAACCTGCATGTAGAAAAATATTTTCAGAGGAATTTTAAGGTGATCTAGCGGAAGTAGCTGGAGGCGAATTGAAAAACACACAGAAAAGCTGGCGTGTTGAAGATTGAAGAGTTCAATCCTTGTTTATTTATTTGTGTATATGATATGAGTACACCTAGCATAGAATACAACTCTTCAAAGTCGATACAATCGATCATAAATGTACATTGCTAAAAGAGAGTAGAACTCCAC